TTTCCCTCCTCAGCTTCCAGCACACGCTCGGCCACTCTTGCTCCGTTTGCCCCCACGGAGGGCACGAGGGACTGGGCTGGGTGAGCAACAAGGAGACAAAGCCCTGGGAAGTCCTCCTTCCCGGACTTCTTTCCCAGAATCTCAGGGTGGGGGCCGTGCTGTACCAGGGCCCGTGGCATCCTCTGTGAAGGCTTCTGCTGCCTGTCTCTAAAGTTGAGTCATGATTCCTGCTCACGATAGGGACAGCATCACAAAGCAAGCCCTGCGTAGGAAGGGGAGGCTCAGGACCGAATCCTGTATTGACCACCAACTTGCTGTGTGTCCCTGAGCAGGCTTCTTACCCTCTCGGGGCCACATGTGCTATGGCTAAGGGCTTCTCTGCCTGATAGGCTTTAGATTTATGAACGAGGGACAGGAGGCATGCCTGGTATCAGCTTGCCTGGTAACACCTAGCCGGCTGCAGAGTGCAGGTGCCCGGGGAGCCTGGCCAACTGTCACTGCCAGCCTGGACTCGGTGACAACCACCTGGCCCAGTGAGGGCTACTGCCTGCAGCTTCTGGCACAAGGCAGAAGCGGGGCTGGGGTGAGAAGGGGGTGTCCAGGTAAGGCCAGCACCACAGCTCCCAAGGTGAAGAGGGGTTCCCTCCAGCCTCCAGGGGCGGAGGGCCACTACCCTGACTGCCCAGTGACTCTACCCAAAGACTGACTCGCTGAACTTGGCCACTGACACTAGTCGCACTGTGCGTGTAACCCAGGTCACCAATTGACTACTGGTAACTACCCACACGTCTCCCCAAACACGCAGACTTAGCTGAATCCAATACTGGGCACACTCTGACCTCTCACCCTGCTGTCAGATTGACCCCTGACCTCAGCCACAAAGCGACCCTTTGACCTTGCCACCAACGGACCTTAAGAGGAGAAATGACCAGAGAACAATGAAATGCCAAACTCTCCGAGTGAAACACATTACAAGGGAGAGAGGGGGCGGGTAGCCAGAGTGGGAGAGGCAGGGCTGGAGGGCTGAGGCTTCCCGGAGGAGCCCGGTGGGCCTGGGGCCACGCTCCAAGGTCGGAGAGGCCTTGTGCAGGGCACGTCGCAGGCGCTCGAGGAATGCGAGTTGCCTGAAAGAATGAAGGAAGGAAGGAACGGGGTGCGATCCAGGGCGGCCGCCCGGCCAGGGCAGAGCTGCTGAGGCAGGAAGCAGGGTGGGGGCGCGCCGAGGCTGCAGCAGCCCGAGCGCAGCTGGGGGCAGCGGGAGAGCAGTGGGGTCAGCGACTCCGCTGGGTGGGGGGCCCCCCCAGG